AAGGTATGCCACAAAGCACGGTCCTGAGCCACCTGCATCCATCGACTTCTTGCATGTCTTACCAGGTCGTCACTCCATCTAGTGGGGGGTCGCCATACACTTCGCCTACCAGTACGAGGCTGCCACTCGAGAACGCTTCTTCCCCAACGGTTGTCGGTTCTTCGAGCTATATGGCCGGCCCATGGCCACTTCAGATTGCATGAAAAAATAGGTTAATTGTTTTACTATTATATTCACTCGGTATATAATATATGTATATATATATATATATATATATATATATATATATATGAAATATATATATATACACTATGTTACACACACGACGTCGCGAAAAACGTATTCATCAGAAATAGACCCTCTTTCTCGAGGAAGTTGACCAGCATTTGTCCACTGTGATTCCTGCTTTCAAACCCGTGGTGTCCAAAAATGGATTCGACGCCCGTGGGTATTAAAATCCCCCATAACAACATTGTAGTGGATTTTGTGGTGTTACGTAAGACCCTAGAAATGTCTTCATAGACAGTTTTAACTTCGTCATCCGAATGTATCTGATAACTTAACTACAAGGTACGCTACCCGTGTGGACACACTGGAGATTTCTACAATGCTATTAGTTAGGATCCTATGAACGAGGAAACCTACTCCGCCTTGGAATAGGCCGTGCCCCTCCCGAAAGTAGAGCAGATACGATATATATATATATATATATATATATATATATATATATATATAGAATATAAAGAATAAATAATATGTTTACAGGCGCAGTATATAAAAAATCGATACCCATCAAATAAATTATAATCTGAATGAATATTAATGTAAACAATTAAACTATTTTACTCTAACAACTGTAATTTGTGTAACACACACACACACGCACGCACGCACGCACGCACGCACGCACGCCACGCACCAACACGCACAAGCGCACGCACGCACAAGCACAAGCGCACGCACGCACAAGCACAAGCGCACGCACGCACAAGCACAAGCACAAGCACACGCACACTCACACACACACACACACACACATACACGCACGCACACACGCACACACACACACACACACACACACACACACACACACGCACGCACGCACACGCACACGCACACGCACACGCACACGCACACGCAACGCACACGCAACGCACACACTCGCACACGCACACGCACACGCACACACATACACACCACGCACGCACGCACGCACGCACGCACGCACGCACGCACTCACGCACTCACGCACTCACGCACGCACGCACGCACGCACGCACGCACGCACTCACGCACGCACGCATGCAGACTATTATGAAACATTGTAAAATTACGCGTATTCTGCTTACCGAAATCAAAGAAAATATGGAGTTACCTGGAAAAAAAGGGTTTTTATTATTACATTTTTAAAATTCGCACAATAATTTGAAGTCTGAATTAATAACACTCTTATAGAAATCCTACTTTAGTTTTTTTGTTAGATGCTATCACTTGTCATGTCAAACAGAAAAATGCTAAAATCTACCAAAACACAATAAAAAGTAGTGCGCAGATTTAGATTTTATTATACACAAAACGGTGAAAGTTATAACATTATCCAACAATACAATTTACAATCTCTAACCGAGTACAAAGACGAATTAACTGCGAGTGCGAGTTGTTCGCCCTTACATTAAATTGCGCGTCGCCAAGCGTCTATTCGCGCATCACATCCTAAATTATAAATCAGTTGGATTGCTTTTGATAATGTTTTTTTTAAATACCTTTTTTATGTTTTATTTTTTCACATTATTTTTACATTGATAAAATGGGACAACTTAAAATTACGAGAGGAACACATTTTTCTAAGAATTTGAAATATTAATTTGGCGACAGAGTTCAAAAGAGAGCGTTTTATAATCAGTATCCAAGACCTGAACGATAAAAGTGCAATCTACCTTTGCGATCCTAAATAAAATTAATGGTTACTTGCAATAGTTTTTAGATAGAAATCGAGATTAAAAAACATAAATGGTTAAGAATTAATAGACTACACGAATTACTGTCTCGAAAATATTTTGACTACACTGAGCAATTTTTTTAAATGTGTTGTTATTATTTCGCTTTGATAGTATGAAGTTGCTTTTATTTTTATAGAATAAAAATGAATGTCATTGATTTTTGAAGTGAAAACTTCTTTAGCACCTTTGTGATTTGAAACTGGATGAAACGAAAATGCGACAGTAAAAAGAGAGAAACGTATATATCTATAGTATTAAGTCTGAGTGAGAATGAGATAGAATACAGTGTAGTAAGCAAGTAGCCCAATGGCAGGGTGCAGACCATGAACTCAAAAGGTTGTGGGTTCGAATCTGTCATTCTATTATTATTTTTAAGCATATCTTTGTGCGGTGCTTTAAAGACAGTTAATATACATTTTAACTGTTAAAATAAACAGCTAAAAATTAACAAATTTATTAAATAAACAAAATTAACCATATTGAATAAAGTTATCTTAATGAATCCCTTCATTACAATCGACGATTTCATAACTTATCGATTTCTATTAAATTATTCGTGTTTATATATCATCTGACGCCTATCTTATGTGCCATTTTGATCAGAGTTAATCAATATTTGTTCGATAAAATGACTTTACCAATGGAATGAAGTAGATGGCCGCTATTACAAAGCTATTTTATTTGAAAGAAAACTAAAATCACAGTCTAAAAATAATGATTGTTACATTATTTATTATCATGACGGCAGTTCTCAACGGAGCCCAGTCTTAATGGAGACTAACTTCCTGACTCCAGGTGGCTACTGAGAATTCCTGGACAGAAAACTCAATTCCTTTTATTTGCCGGGTACAACATTCGAAACCGCAACCCCATGATCAACAGTCGCGTTTACGATCACTAGGTCAACGAGACAATTATTGCAATACTATGACACCATGAATCTGCTTTGATAATTTTTCATCTTTAATACGCGTCGCCTACGTTGCTTTTATTATGAAGGAATTCATACGTGAAATCTATGTCCAGAGATAACAAATATGATGTTACGTTTTTTAATAGAATGGTGCAGCACCGCCAATTGAGTATTTATTATAATTTAGCCATAATTATTACGAATACTTTTATATATTCCTAGAGTATTTAATTAGCAGCTGTAATATGTAAAATAGAACGAAATGAAATATTTTGATTAAACTATCGGTGTTTAACTTTGGTGATTTCCTAGAACAACGTTAATAAAGCACCAATTTATAAAACGTGACTTCGCACACGTTTACGGATAAGCAATTCGTCTAACGAGGTTTCCTTTAAAAGAACTCAAGATTCATTCATAATAACATTCGTGATTACACGTCAATATTATATATAGAAATTATTACCTTAACTTAAAGTTATGTTGAAGTTAACATAGAGTCTCGTAACAAACTACATTAATTATAGTGTTGGCGGAAGCAATTGACAATAAAATTTTCCCATTATACGCCAAGCAAAATATATCAGAAGGTAGAACAAGGGTGTCGGGGTGACTCGTTGTGCTGCAAGTGACGTGTGTAATAAGATAATAGCGTCGCGGTCGGGTCTCATCCGGACACAACAATCGGACACCAGAGACAATACCCGTACACGCTTATCTACGGCCAAGCGTGTAGCTAACTGACGCCCGCCCCTGCCATTACACATTGTGATAAATATTTGATGATGTCCACATTTTCTTCATAAGACAGAGATAATTATAAATTTAAAAATAAAAATTTTGGAGGAGTTTAGTAATTTATTGATACATAAATTATTAAATATGTTACACCTTACTTTTAAAAGAACATGGTTTAACTTTTGTCAAAAATAAATAAATATAAAATATATTTAAAATGAATTAGCATTTTAACTAACAACTAGACAATAAGAATAAACAAAAGTATATATGAATTAATAATGTTATTGGAACGACCTTAAAATATAAATCTTAAAGCTTCTTCGAGGAGCAGTTATCTTTGAAACGAGTAAACAATAAGACAAAGACAAATATTAAAATTTTCTTGTTCACTCGATATTCTTCCATTCATGAAGTTGTAAAATTTAGAAGAAATACAGCTCATGTGAAACCTAGAATTATAACAGTGCCAGAGGAGTCTGAAGTCAGTGAGATTCATGAAGGTGACTTTGGTGTTCAATTAGAATGTACTAGACCTAAAAGGAATGTAAGATGAGATACCCCAAGCGTTTTGAAGATTATGATTTAAATTTAAAGTGAAAGACTTTTTTTTTGTTTTTTTTTGCGCCCGATGCAAATATGGGCAACCCTCCGGAAAGCGGGGGAGGGAGGTTGGGAATGCTCATAGCATACCACGCAGCCGGCTGCGTGGTTATGTGGTGACTTTTACCCACTAAACCCAACCTTTTAGGAATTGGATTAACGATCTGACTAGAGATCTCTAAGCCGTATACGAACGCGACCCTCCTTGGCAGAAAGGAGGGCGCAAAGTGAAAGACGTAGTAAATGTCAATATATACATCACTAGTATATAAGGTTAGTCTGTGAATATAGTATGAGCACTCTTATGATATGATTTTATCGATTTATGTAATATTAGTCTTTATTAATTTTCCTCAAAAAGTTATTGAAATATTTTAAGGTAAAATAGTAAAGTAGTAAAGAAAGGTAAAGCATTGGGTTACACGTTTTTCGGGTATTAACCGTTACACACACTGACATTTACGACGATTTGAGTGCTTAACAACGCCCATAAGTCACGTGTAGGTAACAAACACGACTTCTCCACTTTCGACCATCCTTTATTTTTTTGCAATGTCTATTATTTACACAATTACACAATACACAATTACACAATACTCTATAATAGCTTCCTATTCTATACCATAGATAAGAGTGCTCATACTATATTCACAGACTAACCTTATATACTAGTGATGTATATATTGACATTTACTGCGTCTTTCACTTTAAATTTAAATCATAATCATCAAAACGCTTGGGGTATCTTATCTTACATTCCTTTTAGGTCTAGTACATTCTAATTTAACACCAAAGTCACCTTCATGAATCTCACTGACTTCAGACTCCTCTGGCACTGTTATAATTCTAGGTTGCACATGAGCCGTATTTCTTCTAAATTTTACAACTTCATCACTATTTACATAGAATTATTAGGCTTAGAACCGCAGCAGGCACACGCAAAGTGAAGCCGTTTTAAGTTAGCCTTTTAAGGCTACGTACGATTTTCAGCGTGTCAGTACTCGAGTCCACGTAGTCGTGTAAAGAGCTCGCGCAATTTTGCAAAAAACAACTTACTGTGCGTTGAAAGGTTATCACAACTCATCACATAATCATGGAAAAAATCTAAAAATCTTATTTCACGTGTAATTACTGCTTAGCATCTTATATTTTTGTAAAAAACATTCATCAAAACAAAATAATAAATCTTAAATTTGACAGACGCCAACATAATGAAAATGTTGCTAGGCCTAGTAAAATATTTTACCCTATATTTTCTTATTATTATAATTACATACTGCCAATATGGGACTATTATTGTTGTATTTTTATTTGACAATTAAAAATACCTACAATATTCACGCATGAGTAGGTATTTTTAATTGCCAAATACTATTATGGTCCGACTTGTCATGAAAAAAATGTGTTAATTTTATTTTGTTTTGTTAATGTGCAGTTATATTTATCTGTTTTATAGTATGTGTTTTAGGATAAATAACTTAACCTTATATATTATATATATATATATATATATATATATATATATATATATATATATATATATATATTATATTATATTATATTATATATATATATTATATTTTTTTTAAATTCTAATACTGATTTACATATCTTTAACATTTCCTAAAAAGACGATACGTTTTGCCACTAACCAACAGTGGTGTATTAAATTATGGTAAAGACAATAGTTAACGTTTAGCCAAAGTAGCACAAAAATATTTTATTTTAATGAAGTGAAGTTTATAATAACGAGAATGTTATTGCCAATTAAATGTATTAATTTTTAGATTGTCGTCTGGTCCGACTGTTGCTGTTAAACACAGACCACCCAGCCTACGAGACAAGTAATCATTACGATTTTCTAATTCAATTAGTCTGTCAAGGTTACATGAAAGAAAGGTGTGCACTACCACACCACTTTACTACGCAAGTAGGCATGTTTTACTGTTTTTATTTTAAAAAATTGTAGCGTTAAGGACGCAGTGCACAGGTCTGTTGTCTGGTCACTACTAAATAGGCATGTCGATTTAAAATCGATTTATCGAAAAATTCATTATCTGGAGTAAAATAATCGATTTTTAGATCGATTTGGAACACCGCATCGATTCGATGAATCGATCCAAAAACCTCTCGAATCGGACTGATTTATCTGATTCAAGAACTAGCGAAAAAGTTCTCGAACTGGCTAGGGTAAGATACCGCAGTTTAAAATTTTTTGTTGTTGGCGGATACAAAAGTAACCGATCGTTCTTGGTTGATAATTTAAACGCAATATATATTTGAATAAAATAAATATTTATGAACGCATCCAAAGATATCTAAAAGTCGTCAATTCGTTTTTATTTCTAAAATTCTAATTCTATGATTCTAATCTTACCTGTTGAATCTGGGTTCAACTTAATCTCTTTTAATCCTCGATTTAATCGATTATCGATTCTATAATATTCGATTCAAATCGATTCAGAGATCAATTTTTTATAAGTGAATCGACATGCCTACTACTAAACAGGGTAGCGTTCGTATTCAACTATATAGGCTCTGGTTGAGCAGATGAAGTACAGAAATTTGTCGCTTTTCGTTACATGTCTCGTAGGCTAGGTGGTCTGTGCTGCTCAATGAATTGAAAAAATTAGACCTAATCGCTAAGAAAACTAACGAAAACTAACTAATTTACGTTTCTAATGAAGTTTACTCCATTTTTAGTATTGCTGAAAGTTATATGCGAAATTATATTAAGCATAATGCACCAAAAACAATTCAGAGAAAGAGCTATCTCTCGAAATTATGGCCAAACTCATTGGTCGTTCTCTATTTCCTATTGTAGAAGAGCACATCAATTTGCAGTATCACAACAAAAAAAAATCATATATTTATATAAATAAATAATACTATATGCTTATGTAAATATATCTCTTCTAACAGAATAGTATAATGACATAATAAAGTGAATATTATCATAGCACAAGATAGTACGTATATAAATAATTTTAATAAAATATTAGTTAACAAATATAAGTAATAAAAAACAAAAATATAAATTTCTTCGCAACCTTCCGCTAAATAAATACAATGATGTGTCTTACCTGGATTGAAGAGCACCTCCCGCCCTCCCTCAATTGCATGCACTAACTCCGTCACCACTAGTCCCAGCACCACTACTCCCAACACCACTATTCCAGGTAAGACACACCATCGACGATAATTCACGTGTTTCGCCTCTACACGAGGCATCTTCAGGTAATGTAGACTCTACGGCGGCTGACAATTGATAGAATCAGGCGTTACTTTGCGGAAATCCATTATAATAAAAAATAAAAATATAAATTTCTTCGCAACCTTCCGCTAAATAAATACAATGATGTGTCTTACCTGGATTGAAGAGCACCTCCCGCCCTCCCTCAATTGCATGCACTAACTCCGTCACCACTAGTAAATATAAGTAATTTTATATTTTTCTCTTTGTAAATTATTATTAAATAACTATAAACGCAACCTAAATATTAATTTTACAACTATGTCTACTATTAAACTTTGCCCATTTTTGGGAAAATCATCATTTACTTGCATACATTACTCATTTGCTTGTGTGCGTGCGGGCAAACGTAATTACAGGCCGCTTATGCACACATTCATTGTATTGTTGCTTCAACTTTGAGCGGAATTTCGAATGACACTATCACTCTAAGTCTAATTACTCTATGAATATTTATAATCATTGATCTTGGTGTCGCACAAATATCAACCATATTCCCAGGGTTTCAAACATTATCTCTTCTATACCAAATATTTTGACCTTTACAAAATTCATGATTAGATTGAGTAGCAGTTTTACAATAAGTACTTTTATTACTTTCATTTTTCCTTTTTTGATGAAATGCAAAATTATTGATAATAATATGTCTATATTATGGATATAACAGTATGTCATGAAATGGAAGTTTACTCTTACTTACTAAATAATAATTGAGCAGGTGAACCTAATATTGGGGTATTTCTATATTCCAACTACATGTACTTTTTTCAATGCCCTGCTCTTTACACTTTCTTAACATAACTTTTGCAACCCCTACCATTATTTCAATAAATCCATTAGATATTGGATAGTTGGATAGTAAGGACTAGATTCCTGCTATTTGATACTAGATAGCACTAATAATAACCCGCCATGTACCAGGCATTAATTATGTCGCGCAACACCGCCCCCCCCCCTCAACCTAAGACATGCTCAGCCAAGCACTATCGGACCCATAGAATACTATAATACATATATAATAGAACGGGGGAGTGGGCGGAGCCCGTGTAGCCACTAATTTGTCACTATAACATATCAATTCACATCTCTTTTGACGTTACTAATAAAGAAATATTAATGTGTCAAAAACAACAAATATTGGAAGCACTAGAGATATAAACAAAGTTTTAAGCCGGAAAATATTGGCGCTTTAAAATTTTTACTTGCCTTAATAAAAGCTAAATAAATAGATACGATAAAATTCGACAAAAATATTAATTAAATGACCTACGAATAAACTCAATTTAAACATTTTCATCAGGCAGCCGTAATTCTCTTCCAAAGTTTGCGAAAGCTGGTGTCAGTAATGTATTTTCGTGAACAGCGCTTCGATATGACAACAGAAACGGTTGTATGTGTTTGTCCCACTTCTGACATCAATTGTTACGAGCTTAGGGTTTGTGACAATAAAAACTACTGATTGAATTACCAAAATTGACCAGAATTGATTAAAATACGAAGAGAGAAAAGTATTGAGATAATTTTTTCACTTCCGTTATCAATTTGACATTACCACTGCTCGTACATCTAACCTCTTTCGTAATAAAGCCATTTATAGTTCACTGAGTTCATCTTATTTGTTATATTAATTTATGAAATAAACTCTTGTTAAAAAACGTCATTTTCAACTAACTTTTCATAAATGGAAGAATATCGAGTGAACAAGAAAATTTAAATATTTGTCTTTGTCTTATCGTTTACTCGTTTCAAAGATAACTGCTCCTAGAAGCAGCTTTAAGATCTATATTTTAAGGTCGTTCCAAGAACATTATTAATTCCTATATACATTTGTTTATTCTCACTGTCTAGTTGTTAGTTAAAATGCTAATTCATTTTAAATATATTTTATATTTATTTATTTATGGCAAATGTTAAACCATCTTCTTTTGAAAAGTAAGGTGTAACATATTTAATAATTTATGCTATTTATTAATTTATAGATAGCTACGATCTGATGCAACGACAAATGACATAAAAGCAAGCTGATAAAACTGCGCAAGATATGGGGAAACGGAAACCCTTTGAGGAATTTTTCTACACTAGGGTGCCGGTAAGACACGCAAATAAGCATATTAGCAAGATGCTTACTTGCGCGGCTTACCGGCGCATCTATTAAATAAAATAAACACATTTCCTAAATTTATGTAAATAATAAACATTGCATAAAAATGATATATTTATATTATAGTTTTAACCGACCCATTCGCGCTAAAACTATAGTTATAGTAAATATATACTTCTGTAAATGCCTCATAACAACTACAACGTGAATTTCACTTTAATAAGATCTAGATTAGTCTCATATGGAAATTCGGAGTAGCCATCAACGAAGAAGTCATTGACAGTGAAATTCTTAAATATACATAAAGAAATAAATCGGGTAAAATGAACACCGTCAAGTGCCAATACAAGGTATATATAATTCAGCAGTTTGAGACATAGATTTAGTTGGAAGACAATAATTAATACAGGCGCGGCAAGCAGAGCGAGGTAATGCTTGAACGTGCTCGTACGTTCCACTTTGCATTTTTATTTTTATAAAGCGATTAATGACAATGCGCAGCAACCTTTGAGGAAACTA